CAACACTGAGTATAAAAGCTGTCCAAAGAGTAGATTTATTCATCCTGATCCTGTTTTCTTACACAAAATCCTTAAACACATCAAGTAATGTGTAGACAGAATATATTAACATGAGGTTGTAAACTGTATTTTTAAGGTTACAGTTATAACTTTTTAAGTGTGATGGAATGTCTTCCTTTTTACACTCCTCCATAAAATCTATCATTTATTGTACTAAGCCTTTATGAGTGAGCTAACGACAGTCCTTTTGCAGAAGCGATTCGGAGCTCAGTGATTGTAATTCAGTCACCACTCTGGTAGGTTTTCACGAGCTCCTTCCATATTTGGTTTTCATTTCCCTGCCAGAGGTGGGGTACTGATGTCATCAAGCTTTGTAACCGGTGTATTTTTCCCTCTATTTCCTTATTTTGGGTTTATTGATTATAAATTCTCAAGCACCGTAAACTTTATCAGCTCTGCTCATGAAGACGTAAATAATCAAAGAAAATTAAAAGATGCTGAAAGGGATCTCGGAAATCATTGTTGTCTCATTTTTCCTTCTTAGAAATGAGGTTGAAGTCTGCCTGGAAAAGTGAAGTGACTGTCCTGAGGTGAAGTCATTTTTTGGTGGTTGTTGAGCTTCTGGAGAGTTGGTTGGTTCATGGTGACGCCAAGCACAACAGAACCAGAGGCCACCTGGGCTTGCGCCATCCCCTGACCCATTGCTGATTGGACTCTATTGGACTCTTGTGATCCGGAGGCTTTTCACTGGCTGGTTTTCATAAGTAGATTGCCAGGCCTTTCTTCCTACTCTGTCTTAGTCTAGAAGCTTCTCTGAAATGCAGTCAGCATCGTAGCAATATAAGAACCTCCACTGACAGCTTATGGTGGCTGCACAGGAGGTACGTTGGCCGGGAATTGAACCTGGGTCTCCCACATGGAAAGTGAGGATTCTGCTCTCATTATTTGTTCTTGAAAGAAATTGAAGTCTGTCTGGAAAAGTGAAGTTATTCTTATGACTAAGTCATTTATTAGTTGTTGTTGTTGTTATGTGCCGATGAGTCAGACCGGACTCATAGCGACCCCTCCTTGGGTTTCCAAGGCAGTATCACTACGGAAGTAGATTGCCCCATCTTCCTTCCATTTATTAGTGATAAAGTCTTAATTAAAATAGACTCTGGATTCAGGGGACAGTATTCTTTGTACTGCTTTCAGTGTCTGTTAAGTTGTAAATGACGGTTATTCCATAAAGATTTTTAAATATAAATAAAGTAGACTTTTAATCTCATCATAATATATTATTACATTTATCACTTAACTGTTTCATTTCTAAGATATAAATATAATCTAAATTAATTCAGTTTCAGACTCTAGAGTTACTAATGTTCTTATGTTGATCATCAAGAAAAACATATTTTATATGTGAGCCTCCTATTCCAGATATTTTGAAAGATACTATAAGATGATAAAGAATAGAACAAATTAATAGAAGCTTCATGATTAAGATACTGATCCTTTTCACGTGTTTCTTCTCTGTCTCTCTCTCTCTCTTTTTTTTTCTTTTCCCTATGCGTAGATTCTTCTCAATCAATGCCAATAATTTTGTGGCTTTTTAACTTATTGTAAGCAGTTCTCTGATTCCCTGTTTGTTGAATTGCCTTTAAGATCATTGTTTAATGGATGCATACATATTGTTTGAATATGTCATAATTTGTTTAACTCTTCCTCTTACAACTAGCTTTTTGGGCAGTGTCTAATTTTTGTTATGTATTATGGTGAAATAGATACACTTGGATATAGTATCTGTCAGATTTGGGAACCATTAGTTTAGGATTGATGGACACTCCGGAGAGCAAGAGTTGAGGCTCTCATGTGCGTCGCCAGGCTGCCTGTCCTGGGGACCTTTGTGGCTGCGTGTGAGCCTCAGTTTGCTTTTACCTGTGCCTACTATCAAACGCAGGAGCTCTGGTAGCCTAGTGCCTAAGGCACTTGACTGCTAACGAGAAGGCTGGAGGTTCAAACCCACTAGCTAGCTACTCCTCGGAAAGAAGGTTGGGCAATCTACTTCCGTAGTGATACTGCCTTGGAAACCCAAGAGGGGTCTCCATGTGTCAGGTCTGACTTGACGGCACATAACAACAACAACAACAATCAAACACTTAGGAGCTCTGTGGTGTAGTGCCTAAGGTATTTGACTGCTAACCAGAAGGCTGGTGGCTCAAACCCACCAGCCACTCCTCGGAAGGAAGGTTGGGCAATCTACTTCCGTACTGATACTGCCTCGAAACCCAAGGAGGGGTCGCCATGAGTCGGATATGACTCTATAGCGGTGGGTTTGGTTCTATATATCAAAAGAAAATTGAATTTCAAATAACCTTTTATGTTCATTTTAATAGAAAATCTTTAAAATGGGAGTACAGACAATAAAATTAATACTTGAAATCTCAGAACCCATAGTTATTCTCTACTAACATTTGTATATACAACCTTAAGTTTCTGTTCTTTGTCTAAATAGAGTATATGTTTATTTTGACAAGAAACAGGGTACCCTGCATTTCTCACCTTAGTTTATATTGTGAACATATTTCCATATTAAGAAATACATATATAATTTGGATTTATAGTTTCTAGTACTGGAAATGCAAATTATTAATGGTTAAGCAACAAAACAATAACAAGAAAAACAAAAAACAGGAAAGAAACAATTTAATGTCTGGGGTAACTGGGGAGTAGAGAGATGTGTCTGCTTTCAGTAATAGCTGGATCCAGGGGCACCTGCTAACATCAGAACTAGCCTTTTGTTCTTGGCCTTTTGATTTTCTGCTTTGGTTTTGTCCTCAGGCTGGCAGTTTTGTTGGGAGAGTATGTCTTCCATTTTGTTTTAGCTAAAGTACCAGGGCTTATTCTTACAGGGTCATGTCTTGTGGCCAGGGGATGTTGTTGTTAGGTTGTGTTGAGTCAGTCCTGACTCATAAGACTTTGTGTACAACGGAATGAAACACCGCCTGTTTCTGCATCATCCTCACAATCATTGCTATATTTGAGCCCATTGTTGCAGCCTTTTTGTCAATCCATCTATTCCTCTTTTTCTTTGACTCTCACTTTACCAAGCATGATGTCCTTCTCCAGAGACTAGTCCCTTCGGGTGACGTGTCCAAAATACATGAGACAGTCTCACCATCCTCGCTTCCAAGGATCATTCTGGTTGTACTTTCTTCTAATATGGAAGTGTTTGTTCTTCTGGCCATCCGTGGTTCAGTCAGTGTTCTTAGACTACGGTGTAATTCAAAGGCTTTAGTTCTTCTTTTCTCTCCCTTACTCATTGTCCAGCTTTCACATGCTGTGAGGCAATTGAAAATACAACGGCTGGGGTCAGATGCACATTAGTCCTCAAAGTGACAGGTATCTTTGCTTTTTCACACTTTGAAGAGGTCTTTCTCACCAGACTTGGCTAGGTGATAGAATGGTTTAAAATGTTTCTTATCAGTCCACCTTGAGCTGTGGTTCTTAAGTAGCGGATGTCTCTGTCGCCTTGGTGGGGTGTGTGTTCCATTTTGCTCAGGAAGGTCTCAGCTTATGCCTTTTGTCCTTGCATAATTATTCAATCACCAGCTCTTTCACTCCTGAAGTACCCTGGTGTAGATAACGATTGTGCTTTGTGGAGACTTTAACCCTCAAGTACTTCTGAGATGTGTGGCCGAGGGCACTTTGTTTTATTTGCATTTAGCTCCTCGGGGCCAGGGATGCCAGCTAATACCCTTCCACAAAAAACAAACCCGGACTCACTGCCGTCAGCAGTCCCTCCTTGAGTTTCTGAGGCCGTATCACTACGGAAGTAGGTTGCCCAATCTTCCTTCCAAGGAGTGGCTGGTAGGTTTGAACCTTTAGCTTTCTGGTTAGCAGTCAGATGCCTTAGGCACTACACTACCAGACCCTTGCACAGAGTGACTGTGTTTTACTGTTGCAAGGGCGCTACTGAAGACACACCCACAGTGGAGAGTGCCCTGAACTTGTGCAGTGCCGTGTGTAATGGAGGATTTCTCCCCAAACACCCGTAGCACACCCCTTAATCAAGGTGGTATATGTTGGAGAATGTGGGATTTGGAATCTGGGCTCAAATGCTGGCTCTGCCGTTTGCTTGTGGAACGTTGGCAGTTTGAATGAAGTGCTTTGTCCTTTGGGTTCCTAATTTTCCTTAGCTTGAGCCGTCCCCCCTCCTAGATCTTGTATGGACCCTTTAGCATTTCACCTTATTTATGGACAGTCTTTATTAGTGTTCAGACGGCACTAGTGTATAAAGTCAGAAAGCCTAAAGAGGAGGCACGATTATGTTCTTGTTGTCACTACTTAGGCTAGTCTTGCCATGGGGTAGGCTCAGCTGTGACTTCTTTGAACCGATTTTTGTTTTCAGTGCACTTTTCCAAGTATCTTAACACGTGAGATATAATATTGTGATACTGCTATCTGAGTCAGTATGTGAGCATGGTAAAAGACATGTTTACATACATAAAGGCTTGAAGATTTGTAGACTGTCAAATTGCAAATACTGAACATGATGGAAGTGATAGCTAGAAGACACTTTATTTCTTTGTCAGGCTAGCATTTTACAGAGCATATGTGATGCATTTTCTGTTCACTTTCCAGTTTTTAAATAAGTATTCAAATAAAAGAGAAGACTGGATGGAGTATGCAAGCTTTGTGATCACATCAATGTGTTTTTATCCTGGTATGGAACTTGCAGCTCTTGGGTAGTGACTTTCCTTCCTTTGCATTTAAAAACTTTGATTAAATGTGGCAGGAGCATTTATGGTGTGACAGAATGTGTGAGTGAGCTATTTTAGGTAGTTTCTCAAAAAAGAGAGACGTTCTCGTTTTGTCGGGCATCTCAAAGATTCGTTGGGTAATAAGTGATTTCTTGGAGTTTCACGTGGGTTGAAGCAGTGTGGGCTAAGGGATTCTGACTCTGATGGCGTGCATATATTAGGCAACTTACTTTTCTTTCCCCCCCCTCTCATTTGTAGGATTCTGAGTAACAATAAAATATCGGAGCTGAAGAACGGCTCATTTTCTGGGTTAAGTCTTCTGGAGAGATTGTGAGTATTCTTTCATTTCCATTGCTTATCATTCAGTGGCATCATGGGGGGGGGGTGTTCCAGGGGGGTACAGATCACACTGAGGACACTGTCAGAGGGGATGACACCAAAATGTTTGCTTATAAATCTTTGTGCAATGTTTGAGCAGAAATGTATTATCTGTTATAAAAATATCCCAGCAATAAGTTCTACCAACAAAAACATTTTTCGTAAGCCCAGCTGACATGTTTCAGTATAGCTGCAAGGCTACACTTCTGTGCTAATTTACGTTTTGAACCTTCTCCTGCGCTGGGAACAGAGCTGTCTCTACTACCCAATTACAGTGAAACTTCCAGTCACTTGGTTACATTTCCACGCAGTACAAGCACCTGCTATTGTTTTCATTGCTCCTGGTGCTGTTATACTTGTTGATTTTGTCAAATTTTCTAGTGTTTTAGCTACAACATTGTGGTAATTAGTATCTGCGAACCTGTATCAACAACTTTTATTTTATTTTAAGGGTTTGTTTTATATTCAACACTACGTGTACATTTAGTTTTACTCCCCATTTATCATGCCCAACCCTAACCCAGTCTCCTCCCCTCCCTGCCCAGTAACCCTCCCCCTGTGTCCATCATAGTTATGCACTCCTGTGCGTCCTTCATTTCCTCCGTGTGAATGTTGCCCCTCTGGTGCCCCGTGGTCTATTGCTCTAAGGGATGTATTTCCATAGACTGTGGGTGCATCATCCTGGGTTGAGTGGTCTGTATGTATATCTTATTATCTGTTGGGCTGAAAGCAAGCCCCTGGGAGTGAGTTTTATTCCAGGCCCAGAATGTATCACAGGGCCATAGTATTGGGGGTCCTGCCAGACTCCATTTGACTAGTACTTCTGGTCATTATTGAGTTTTTGGATTTTGTTCCACATTTTTCCTCCCACTCTATTCAAGATCTCCAGATTTGATCCTTTCCTGAGTGGTTGGCATTGGTAGCTGGGCACCATCCAGTTCTTTTGGTCTCAGTAACTTTTTTTGAGTATGAAATGGTAATTAAAAAGAAGAAGAAAAGTCAAAGAAGACTTCTACTCTTTTACTAATAATGTAATTCAATGTAGAGAGATTTTATGAAACAGTTTTGTTACAAGTATTGATAGAATCTAAGAAATATTACATTTAAGCAGTTTACACTTAATATTTGTCACATACTATTCCATGATTAAAATTGCTAGTAAGTATTACTAAGGATTCTGTGTGGTCTGGGGCGTGAGACCTATGGGGGGCGGTGACACCGTGAGTTATTGCATTGGGTGACCAACCCTTACCAAGTCTAGTGATGCCACTGTTGTTACTGCTTTTATTTAATGCATTTTTATTGTAAACCTATCACTAAACTCCCAACTTATTAAAGGAAAACTTGAGTTTTTTTCTAACATGTTACTATGAAAATTTTAAAAAAACTGAATTTTGTAAAATAAGGAATTGCTTTAAGCAGGGACTGGTGAATTTTCTAATAAAGGGGCCAATAATATTTTAGATTGTGTGGTCTCTTTGCAGTTACTCAGTGTTGCCATTGTACTGTGAAGGCAGCAGTAGACAATAAGTAAATGGGTGAGTCTGCATCTGTTCCAATAAAATTTTATTTATAAAAATAAGCAGTGGGTCATAGTTTGCTGACCATTGGTTTAAAGCATAGATGTCATTTTGAAATTCTGTATCATAAATGTGTTTACCTTCTAAGACAGTCAAGTAGAATGAAAAAATAATTAGGATAAACTTTTAGATACACTTTGATATTTCATTCATATGTCTTTGAATATGATATTTATTTATTTAAATTATGTGTTTTTGGTGAAAATTGACAAAGCAAATTAGGTTCCCATTTGACACTTTCTGCCCTAATTGTTCAGTGGTATTAGTCACGTAGCTCACAGTGTGTAAACATTCTCTTTAACTACATTCTAGCTATCCTGTTTCTAGTACTACCCTCTCATCTTTCCATCATTGCTTTAGAGTTGATCTTTTGGTTTCATGTAGATGTTTCTTTAATGGAACACCATACTCACAGATAATATCCTTTATTTTGTATGCCATCTGTGGTTTTGTTAAAAGGTGACCTCAAGGGAAAGTTTTGGTTCAAGGTTAAGAGAATATCCCAGGGCAATAGCCTCAGGAAGTCCTCAGGTTTCAACTGGTCCAGGCAGTCTGGACTTTTTAAGAATTTGAGTCCTGTTCCATGGTTTCCTCCCGTTCTCTCAGGGTCTGTCTATTGTTGCCCCAGTCAGAACGGTCAGTGGTGATAGCTGGGCACCACTGCTATTCACGGTAGATGAGACCCTGGCTCGTGTAGGCTCTTAGCCCAATGACTAGTTTTCTCTCTGAGAGGACAGTTACTTTTTTGCTTTGCATCACCTAGTTCTGCTTATGATCAGATGTGTTGTAAGTGATACTCAATGTTTTTTATGTTGGTGAATTTTACACAATGACTGTTGGTTTTGCTTGTGTTTTGAATGTTTAATCCAGGTTCATGTTTTAATAACTCATGCATTTAGGATCACATTTCATAATACATACCAAAACCAAACCCACTGCCACTGAGTTGGTTCCAACTCATAGCAACCCCCATCTGGGTTTCCAAGATGGTAAATCTTTACGGAAGTAGGTTGTCTCATCTTACTTCGATGGAGCGGCAGATGGGTTTAAACCGCCAGCCTTCTGGTTAGCAGTCAGAGGCCTTTGGCACTGTGCCACAAGAGCTCTTTTCATGATACATAAGGGGGCAATGTTGTGTACATTCCCATTTATATTGAGTACAACCTTTCCTCATTTTTCTAATTTCTGGTTGATCACGTTCACTTTCTCTGCTAGTCTGTGTGGTGCTTCTTTTAGCATTTCACCTAATGGCTTTGCCGGCAGTTGACATTCCATAGCCTTCATTGCTTCAATCAGGGATGTGTTTTTTAAGCACATACCGTCCATACTTCTTTACTCTTTTATATATGTTTCTGTTGTTTTCCTTTAGACCAAATGTCTTTAGCTTGGATAAAAATAAGCCAGCCACTGCTATCGAGTCATTTCAACTCATAGTGTCCCTATAGGACAGAGTAGAACTGCCCCATGGAGTTTCCAAGCCTGTAAATCTTTCTGGAAGCAGACTGCCCCATCTTTCTCCTGTGGAACAGCTGGTGGGTTCTAACCATTGACTTTTTCATTAGCAGCCAAATACCTTAACCAATGTGCTACCAGAGCCCCTTAGGTTATATATATGCACTTAAATACATTTATTATGTAGCTATAGCATACAATCATATTTATATTTGTATACATAATGCAATGCAATGCACTGCTGTTGAGTTACATCCAACTCATATTGACACTCCATGGGTTTCTGAGGCGGTGCCACTATGGAAGTAGATTGCCCAACCTTCCTTCCGAGGAATGGCTGGTGGGTTTGAACCACCAGCCTTCTGGTTAGCAGTCAAATACCTTAGGCACTATGCCACCAGAACTCCTATATGTATACATACATACACACACAAATATACATGTGGATGTATGTGTCTACACACATAGGTGCACATGTACACAATTTCTTTAAAAATGCTTATACTGGTTTCCTAGGGCTGCCCTAACAATGTACTACAAAGTAGATGGTTTGAAACAATAAAAATGTATTCTCTTACAGTTCTAGAGGCTGGAAATCTGAATTCAGGCTGTGGACAGGGCCAGGCTCTCTGCCTGGAGGCTTTAGGAGTGGTCTTTTCTTGTTTCTCTCAGCTCTGGTCGTTCCAGGCTTTCCTTGCCTTGTGGAGCTTAACTCCAGTCTCTGCCTGTTTTTGCACGGTTGTCTTCCCTCCACGTCCGTGTCTCTGAGTCTCCTCTCCTCTTATAAGTGCACCACTGTGATAGCATTAGGACCTAGCCTACTCTGGCATGACCTCATATTATCTTAACTGATTATGTCTGCCAACACTCTATTTCCAAGTAAGGTCACATTGACAGGTGCTGGTCATTAGGATGTGGGCATCGTTTTAGGGACACAGATCAACCCATGAGAGCTTTGTTGCCATGGCAGAACTTAATTCTTTCATTCAGTCATCTCATGCTGCTTTCATCCAAGCGTTCCTGTCGTGTTCCACACAGCCGTGTGCTTCAGGAATGCCTGCCACACCCTCATCCAGGCCTGACTGGGCTAATGGCAGTCCCTCATGCATGTGGCACAGTCAGTGCTGCAGGAGAGGGCCTTTGGCCCATTTTAATTGAAGCAAGAGGAACCTAGGTGGTGTAAGAGATTTGCGATCTGTTGCTAAACCAAAGCTTGGCGATCAAGCCCGCCCAGCAGCTGCATGGAAGAAAGGCCTGGCATTCTGCTTCTGTAGTGTTTACAGCCAAGAAAACCCTGTGGAGCAGCTCTGCTCCAACACATGGGGTCACTGTGAGTCGGGGGCAGGCTCAGCAGCAGCAAACACCAACAGCAGTTGAACAGAGATTTGCTTGGGGCTTTTGGGAAGGAAATTTCCTGACTGTCACCAGGGAAGATGGTTGTACTGGTAAAGAAGCCATCTGCTCCTGCCAAAAGGGCAGAGAGGTGGCATCTTCTGACCTAACTTCACATGAGGAAGACAGAATCACCATCAGTACCCCGAGGCCTGTTCCTATGAATCCAGACGTGCCTCTACTCTCCAGCCTTTTACCAATTCTGACACCAGCCATCCCACCCACAGCACTCACTTGTTTTCTGCTGGGTTCAATAATTTGTTGCAGTGGCCACACAGAGCTCACAGGCAACACTCATGATTATGGGGTTTATTCGGGAAGTAACAGGCTACAGTTCAGTTCAGGAACATGCTCAGGATACAGTTCTTTGATCAGGACAGTCTCCCCTCTGCTGTGCCCTCAGACACGCCTCTCTGACCCTTGGCCTCTTGGCCTGGTCTCTGCCCTCTTGGGCAAGTGTGTTACAAAGCTCTTTCAGCTCTGCCGATAGGTCCACCTGTGTGCACCCTACTCCATCAGGAAGCCTCC